ATAATTACAATCCGGAGAACACTGTATAATTTTGTAAAAATTATAATTTTATATATATATATATATATATATATATATATATATATATATATATATATATATATATATATATATATATATATATATATATATATATATTTGATATAAATCAAAGCCATTGTTTACAATTAAAAAACAATTTCTATATACCTCCTTCCAATTGCCTCCCTCTTGAATGTAAACAGCGCATAGTGGATCAGATTTCGAGAACGAATCCTTATCTAGAAGACCTTTGCAAGATATATGCAAGGCAACTTTGGTCACACAAGCTTCCATCGTTTAGAAATTTTGCCAGAAACTTGAGAAAAATTATGTGAAATTTTACAAATTTGCAACAATGAACAATATATATTCAGCAAATTGCCCTTCCTCTTCCGTTCACGTTCGGTCTCTCTTCGGATTTGTTCGCACAAGCGTCGGCTTTCCACTGATCTGAATAAAGAAGTTACTTGACTGGAGCGGAGCGAGAGAGAAATGTCGTCCTTTCTGGACCTCTCGAGAGAATAATTGATAGTAATAGTATATAACTGATAGAGCTATCCATTATAGAAATAGCATTAGTTTCTGTGACAATACTGGACCAATAGGAGAGGAAGAACAGTTTATAACTGGTTTCCTCCTGCAACACTTTGAAGGAATTGAGCAGTACTTATTATATCGACAATTTCGGGACAATTTTGTCACAACTTATATATTTAATTGCATCTTCACAGATCTCTGCAATGTTAGTTTTCGGTGTCAACCATGCAGAACATTTTTCCAAAACAATCCCGAAATTTCTAAAGGATAATTTTACAACAATTTTAATTCCCTGTGCGTGTCGTATTGAAATCACAGCACTCCCGCTGTGAGGGCGACAGGGGTCATGAGGAAATGCTCCAAGGAAAGTTGACACAATATTAGCAAATATTTGCCGGAAGGATCTAGCTTTTCATGTTTCTGTCAAAGGTAGGTTGTAGCACAATTTTCAAACAAAGAAGCTTTGAAATAGTTCCACGACATAACACTTAGCGCATTTATGGTATAATTACGTGTCTACTTTAGTGTGAAGCGCAATTGAACATAGACCAAGTCTGACAACAAAAGCATTGAGTATTATATTTTTAATACATAATCTTTCAATTGGTTTTCGTTAGTTAGTTAGTTAATCATATAAACAGAATATACAGATGTTCATAGTTTGTTGGTAGTGGTATTCATATGCCAATTTAGATTGTAGTGGTTCTGCATCGATAGATTTCTAAATGTAACTGTATCGATCACTACATATAATCTATATATCTTCAACAGCACTGCACGTACGACTGTGTCATTTTATATATCCAGTTTACATGATCATATAAAATATACATCACTCTGTTTCTTCATTAATAATAATCTTTACTACCCATCTTAGGTTTACAAATACAATATATGCTTTTACATATAGATGATTAAATTTAACTATATTAAAAATTTATAATATATTTATAATATAATTATATGCAATGTTAAAAATCTAAAATTAGAAAATAATGTGCCTCGTAGTTATAAATATGTTCTAAGCAATAGCGATGGCATAAAAAGAATGTTTATGTCTCTCTTGATCTATGTAAGTAGTTTTGGAATAATTTATCATACAGTCCGTCATTCTGTCATATTCTATTTTGTCGCAATTAATTTTCATTAGCTGCACACTCCGGTGGTATAATAATTACTATTCATTCAAAAACTATCACCAATAAAATGTTGTATAGTTTAACAATTAGAAACAGTTCGAAGTGATTGGTAACATTGTGTCTTCGTGTTCGTCTACTCTAGATAAAGTAGATATTATTCTACAAAAGAAAAATGACAAGTACAGATGATTTAGATGACATCTTAGAAGGTCTTTCGTACGAGGATCTTCAAGCATTGTCAGATGAAATCGACCCAGAGGTAGGCTATGAGAAGTTCCCTGACTTCACCGTATTGTTCAAACCCTAAAGTGTTTCCCCGTTGCTTAAAATCCTACATGTCCTCTAAACCCAAACTTGTGCCAATATGATTCCACCCTCCTGATTTCGTTCTAGCAATGATTTCAATTTCGTTCCAGCATCGTTTCAACCGCGTTCCAACATCGTTAATATCCCGTTCTGACACAGTTCTAACTTCGTTCTGACCGAGTTCTAGCTTCATTCATACCCTCATTCCCCGTTCCAACCGCGTTATAACGAAGTTCCAGCCTCGTGCTAACTTCGTTCCAACCGCGTGCTGACTTCGTTCCAGCCGCGTGTTAACTTCGTTCCAACTGCGTGTTAACTTCGTTCCAACTGCGTGTTAACTTCGTTCCAACTGCGTGTTAACTTCGTTCTAACTTCGTTTCTAACTTTATTCATACCTCCATCCAACCCCGTTCTAACTTCGTTTTAAAATCGTTCTAAACGTGTTCTAACGTCGTTTCAGCATCATTCTAACTGCGTTTCACTACGTTTGTTCCAACTTCAACCCCGTTCTAACTTCGTTCCAACCGTGTGCTAACTTCGTTCCAATTGCGTGTTAACTTGGTTCCAACCGCGTGCTAACTTCGTTCCAACTGCGTGCTCACTTCGTTCCAGCCGCGTGTTAACTTCGTTCCAACTGCGTGTTAACTTCGTTCTAACTTCGTTTTCTAACTCTATTCATATCCCCATCCAACCCCGTTCTAATTTCGTTTTAAAATCGTCCTAAACGTGTTCTAACGTCGTTTCAGCATCATTCTAACTGCGTTTCACTACATTTGTTCCAACTTCAACTCCGTTCTAACTTCGTTCCAACCGTGTGCTAACTTCGTTCCAACTGCGTGTTAACTTCGTTCCAACTGCGTGTTAACTTCGTTCCAGCCGCGTGCTGACTTCGTTCCAGCAGCGTGTTAACTTCGTTCCAACCGTGTGTTAACTTCGTTCCAACTGCGTGTTAACTTCGTTCTAACTTCGTTTTCTAACTCTATTCATACCCCCATCCAACCCCGTTCTAATTTCGTTTTAAAATCGTTCTAAACGTGTTCTAACGTCGTTTCAGCATCATTCTAACTGCGTTTCACTACGTTTGTTCCGACTTCAACCCCGTTCTAACTTCGTTCCAATCGTGTGCTAACTTCGTTCTAATCGCGTGTTAACTCCGTTCCAAACCACGTGCTAACTTCGGGTTGGGGTTAGGGTTAGGTGCCGCGAATTTATCATATTAACGACCTTAAGCAAACAGGACGGCAACGCGACGACGACGGCTATTCACACAATGATATTCCTGATCTCGTACAAAAGAAATGAATAATCAAAAGCCTCACAGGAGTTAGAGACGTTGTGTTAGGGCTTTTTACAACGGCAAAACAGAGACTTTCACGTCTCGTGTACAACGCAAACATACCAAGACGCGACAAGTGAAACTACAAATTTGTTCGCAGAAGCGTGTTTAACCATAAAACCTTTGTTTTAGTCTCATCAAACTGAACTCAATTCATATACACATGCTGAGTGGATAATACACAACAACTCTTCTTCGCAATAATTTATTTGAAGAAGTTTGTTTTGGCTGTCGTCGTTGCGTTGCCGTCGTACATGCTTAATTAAGGTCGCTATTGATAAATTCGGACGTGTTTAACAATTTACTCATAGAGTAAATTCAAAGTTAGAGCGCATGCTGTAACTTCGTTCATACTGCGTGTTAACTTCGTTCCAACTACGTGCTAACTTCTTTCCAACCGCGTGTTAACTTTGTTCCAACCGCGTGCTAACTTTGTTCCAGTCGCGTGTCAACTTTGTTCCAATCGCGTGCTAACTTCATTCCAGTCGCGTGCTAACTTCGTTCCAGTCGCGTGTTAACTTCGTTCCAACTACGTGCTAACTTCTTTCCAAACGTGTGCCAACTTTGTTCCAACCGCGTGCTAACTTCGTTCCAGTCACGTATTAACTTCGTTCCAACCGCCTCCTAATATTATTCTAATTTCGCTCCGACCTCGTTGAAACCTATAATGACGCGTTGCAACATTGTTTAAAAGACAGTTCTTTCAAACCTTGTGTCAACTTCGTTTGAAGCGAGTTTGAACGTTGCTGCAAGTCTAACTTCTATCAGCCTAACTTCGTTCCAACCGCGTGCTAACTTTGTTCCAACCACGTGTTAACTTCGTTCCAGTCGCGTGTTAGCTTCGTTCCAACTACGTGCTAACTTCGTTCCAACTCCGTGCTAACTTCGTTCCAACTCCGTGCTAACTTCGTTCCAACCGCGTGCTAGCTTCGTTCCAGCTGCGTGTTAGCTTCGTTCCAAACGCGTGCTAACTTCGTTCCAGTCGCGTCGTAACTTCGTTCCAACCGCCTTCTAATATCATTCTAATTTCGCTCAAACCTCGTTCAAATTTGTAATTACCAGATGCGTTGCAACATTGTTTCAACTTCTTTCAAACCTCGTGCCAGATAACTAGCCTGCCACGCAGGCGGCTACTAGATAACTAATCTCCACTTCTTAACTTTGTAAAATGTCTAGTATTTAATTTATTATAATTGTAATATTTATGCAGATAGTAAACAAGGCCCTTTGAAAAGCAGATCATCTGAAAGGCTGATGAAGGCCTTTGAAACGTGTTTGGAACGAGATTGGAGCAAGGTTCAAACTCGCTTCGAACGAAGTTAGATGCTTTTTGAAGGAATTAAAAGATATAGAGTTGACGTCTCTTTGAATTTGATCATCTAGACTATACCAGCTCACGGCTCCTCTGTAAGAAAAACTTCTCAATCATGCGAAAGTTAGTTTTGGGCTTATCCCTGGCTTATCTAACAATAGATTTATATGGTTGCTGCGCAAGTAATAAACGTGAAATATCGCAACTGTTAAACATTTGGGTCAATCACCAATCAATATATCTCGTCATTGTTTGTTTGATAGCACGAGCTGCTACCAGTTCACGAACGTCAACTCCAACCAGAATCGTCACGCAAGTTCGACATTCATGATCGGATCAAAGAGATGGAAAAACTCTCCGTGGAGAGCATCGAAGGTGACAATTTTCTTCCGCTTCATGGTCGAAACTACAAACCGCAAACCACGGTTAAAGAGAAAGAGCCAGAAGTTCACCTTCCGGATGAGTGGGACGAAGCTGTCAATCAAGCGAATGAGAAAGACCTACAGGAGCTGGCAGGTGGGTTTCAGGAAGCGTTATCAGTGCAGGAAATGGTGGTTAAATACTTAGGGCCTGTTTATACAAGCCCAGATAACCTGGAGATCTGCATGCGCTTTGTTAACGCACATAAAATTCCTTTTTGGATTCATACGGGACTGACCGAGCCAGCCCGGGATCTGCGCTACATGTCAAGTGGGATAAAATTTTCCATACGATGGTGCTTAGTAAAAGCCAGCTAAGATATATTTCTCTTCTTTTCAAGGTATTTTGGGTGTTCATAGCTTGCTAACCCAGGAACAAAGTACATCCTCAGAAACATCACAAATGAGAGAAGCACTACGTGAGTTAGACGAGAAAAAAGGTGAGTATCTTGTGATGTAGAAATCAGGGTGCATCCCAGATCAGTGTCACCTAAGGTCAGTCTCATGTAACCATTTATCAAACTCTAAAACATTTAGATGAGCGATACGAGCCATCCCGAGGCGTTGCAGATCACTACGGAGAAATACAGCAACTTGATGTGAGCGGTTTGTTCAGAAGACTGAAGGAGTTCGACAACACTCTGACAGAAATTACTTTGAATAATATGAAAGAAGTGGATGACGTTTTGATGGCTGTTGCTGACTTTCTTGCCAGAATGGACTGCGTGACGAAAATTTCAGTGGCAAACACGAAAATGAACAATACTATTGGATTGGTAGGGAGACGTTCCTTATACCTTTATCTTTTGGCTATGGCCTTCAGGCCACGCTATATTACTCTTTTGTATTTTAATATAGTATACGCTACATTTGTAATACATTCACATATACCGATTTGATACTCTGTTCCAACGTGCCACCGCTTCCCAGATTTGCTTGATAATGGTACGGAGGAAGTGGCTAACAATGACTTAACTATCCCTTGTTAAACATGATCACACTGTCGCCTTTTAGCCCAAATCACAATGTTGTTACTTATGCAATTAAGTAAATTCAGGTTTTGTTCTTTTTAACTTTTTTGTACATATAGAAATTTGCAGAAGCGCTGAAAAATAACAAGAGTCTTGTACATTTGAACATGGAATCTAATTTGCTCTCTGGTGATGTTGTAGTGGTAAGTGAATCTGTCACTTTATTTGTATCTGTATTTGAGCTTGTGGAACTCATTAATAATTCATGAAGAAAACACAAAGAAATCATGACCGTGAAGATACAAAATCATGCTGATTTATATAAACTTTATTTTTAAATTGTTGAAGACGTACGAATGTTCTCATCAAGACGTTTCACCGATAGAACACGGTCTTTCATGTTGTAGAGTAGTTATCAAACATTTCGTGTTTAACCGTTTTCTAGCTTGACTGTTTCCTATGACGTTATCATTTCTTGATTTTCAGTTATATTCTTTCTTAACTTTTAGAACCTACTTGAAGCTCTTGAAAACAACACAACACTAAAAGAGCTGAAAGTTGCCAACCAGGTAAAAACCTGCATTTGTCTACTGATAATAATTATCAGACATCATTGCTTTTTAGCAGGGGATTGAGTGTCTCATTCACTGGTGGGCGGATTTCCCAACAGGCAATAGTCCATGGGGTTGATAGAGGGTTCGAGGAAACTACCATTTAACATCCTTATCTGAGAAGACACGAAAGTTTAATTTGGTGGCTAAAGCTCCTCAGATATTTTCAGACCTTGAGTAGCGGTCCGACCGGGTCTTCCAGCTTAAATCTCTTCTTCCCATTCTTGCAGTCCAAGGCAGCGGGTGCAAAGAATGAACGGGAAATGGTAAAGAAACTCGAAGCGAACGAGACTCTACTCAAGTTTGGACATGCATTTCTGACTCCAGGCATGGGGAACATGGCTTCAAGATGGATTTTAAGAAACAACGATAAAGGTATAGATAGAACTTGTGTGTGCATGTCTTTATCTGTTAGCACGAGAACTTCAAAATATCAAACGTATTAATACGAGAATTTGTAGAACAAATGGACATTGCCCAATGACAAATTGAGAAAATTTTGGTCAAATTTGGATGATAAATTAGCACAAGTCTTGCTTTACCCTGTGGAGGAAACTAAATGCGTAATTATCCAACTTAATTCCCTAGTGAAGATATGCAGTCTGTGTAGCCTGCATGGCAGGCGGTCCCTAAAATCGGGCAAGGCTCACCATGGTCTTTGGCTACAATCTGTGAGACTCCGAGAGGTCTCTGGTCTTTCAATGGTTTTACTTCATATGTATTTTCATGTAGCACGAAAAGCACGCCAAGCAGCAGCCATGAAATAATCTGTCAATGATGGAAGTTGTGAATGAACCGAACACTGAGGGACCGGGACACTAAAGCTCGCTTGAAATCATGGATGAGATAGACAGCACGAAGCGAAGTGGGACATAGTTATAAAATCGCTAATGAAAAGATGCTGTACTGTATATATAATGTGTTATTTTTATATTGCAAATAATATGAAATAAAATTTCTAACTTGTATGATCGGCGTTTAAATATAACAAATATTTTAATGCTAAAATTTATACAATACCTTACATTACATTATTATGGACAAATAAACGTTGAGGCAAACAATTTTAGATTTCGTGTGAACCTAGCATTTGCATGGGGGATATTTTACAAACGATGCAAAACTGTTCAATATGTACATCATTAACTAACTACCTAACTAAAATATTGGTTTCATTAAGAGTTACACTGGTGATCAACTTCAACTTCTTTTATATTTAAAGGAGCAAGTAAATAAGAATTCAAATATTTTCTTTTTCTTTTAACAACCAAATTGACCCAGGGATAGTTTGGCTGAGGGGGGGGAGGTGCGCAACCTCCCCCCCCCCCTACATCCATTCTCGAGTTGACCACCATTACTGTAGATAGCGCTTTCTGAAACCCCCTATTTAACTAGACCTGTTCATTTCCATCCATACACTTCTGCTTGGCAGTTTCCCCACAATTCCACGCGACTTTTCTTCAGTTCTTGTGCTGAAATTGGAGATTTTTCACGCCTGCATTAATCTTTCAAATATTTTTCAAGACATCATATTATAAATTATGCTCTAAAAATGATAACACGGACGCCTCGTAATGTTCGGAAGCCCTCGCTTGTCGTATTCCATGACGTTCCCTTGGATAAACCTTAAAAATTAAAATGAAGAGAAATAATTCAAGACCAAGTTCCTTCAAACAGTTTTTACAAATCCTTCAAAACTTAGAATTTACCCAATATGCAAAATTCCTACCGTGATGAGACAGAAACGTGGATAGTGTGAACCCAGCCTTAAGTGGTGGTTACTTATAGGTGCATGCATAAATATGTAAGGAATTTATACTTTGTACTGTGAAAGATTTTACCTGAAGTTGATACGGCTTTCCAGCTTTAATCAAACGGTCGATGAGTAAACTTGTGTGGTGAAAATGAACATTTTCATCGATTAAACCATGAACAATCAACAAACGATTTTCTCTTTAGTGAAAAATGAAGAAAACTTTAAAAACTGGAGCTCACTTTGCAACAGCTGTTTTGGGGCCGCGTTTTAAACCAATTTTTGCCTTCGAATTCAGCTCAAGTTGCTGGCTTCGATTCCCCTATTATGATGTCCTAAGGTGGCACTTTCTTCTCAATTATTTAAAGACCTTGAGTAGAGGTCCGACCAAGGATTGAGCCCGGGTCTCGCAGCTGACCTCTCAGTTGGCAAACACTTGATGTGAAACGTTTAGAAAATAAATTAATGATGTACAAAATACTTAATAACCACACTGCCCCTAATCTAAACGAGTGTTTCTGCAAAAGAAACTCAATCCAATCTAATTACGATTTGCGTAGTAGCGATACAGATCTATGCTTACCTAAGCCTAATAGTGAATTTTTAAAGAAAACTTTTTGATATAGTGGTGCCATGCAATGGAATCATCTTTCTGAGGACTCAAAAAATTCTGAAACCCTTTCTTCTTTTAAAAGAAAAATACGTCAGGCATGAACACCTCATTTGGATAGCACCAATTGTTAAGTTTTTATATAATTCCTTTTCTATTATCCTTTGCTTCCTTGTTTTTCTATATAGTTTAACTTGTATATAGTTTAATGTGTATACTCTTTAATTTGTAAATAGTTATTGTGTGACGCCCCTCATGAAAAGCAGCTGACGTTGATCGAGGCTAGCGTGTTTAAATAAAGTTTTACCATACCACCATACCAGCTTGAGGGGGGAAGGCAAGCGTGGTGAGCACGACACCACAAGACAACATATTTGCTAGGTGTAGCCGGAAAATAAAATGAATAGAATTATTCTCTACTTACTGATCAGGAAATTTCATGGCACAATTCAAGACAGAACTTCGTATGTACGCCATTGGGTTAATTTGAGGTGTATTCATGTAGCGTTCGGTATAACCTGTGTCATATGCTTCCCAGTCTGTGACCGGAGCTCCTGCTACAGCAACCTGGAGGATGGAAAATAGCAGATACAGAACTTCCCATACTCAAATATCTGTTAGAGATGGTACTATGATAGAAACGAAATCGTCCTAGATTGTTGTCAAGAGAGAAAAGCCACAAATTTGGCAGCGATTTTAACTACTAGCTGTTTTCACTTCCATTTACTGCACCCGATGTGGAAGTCGGGGACTACGGAAGTCAATTTTATACTCAAATATCTTTAGAGATGAAATTATGATAGAAACGAAACCGTCCTGGACTAAAGTCAAGAGAGAAAAGCCACAAATGTGGCAGCGGTTTTAACTAGTTCTTTTCACTTGCATTTACTGCACCCGAAGTGGAAGTCGAACTTCTTATCTCGGACATAAAAAGACATGACAAGCCTCACCTTAAATATATCCGGTCGTTGAATTAAACCTTGTAATGATAGATAGCCACCTGAAGTACAATATTAATATTCAAGTTAACGACTGTGTGTACTGTACCACCCCCAATAGATGAGACAAATAAAAGAAAAATATTTTACCGTAAGACCATCCATGAATAGCTATACGAGTGATATCGATATATTTCGTTTGTTCAGCAACATGTAATACGGCCTCAACTTGATCATCAATTTCAACACAACCCTGAAATAACATCCCCAAAAAATCATTTTGCAAGTTTATAATCCAGAGTTAAAACTAAAACTTTGATGAATTTATCCTGTCATCTTGTCAAAAGAAACGGCACATGAGAAAACCGAAGAGTAATGACTACTGTAACTTTCTATGCACAATCCAGAGGAAGAACTCAAAATCTTCCGGCGGAAGAGCGTAATAATGTATTTATGACTAACCAAACTATTCTTCAGAGGGCTTTCAAATTTCTTTCCTCGATGGAATGAACCACGGCAATCAAACGCGACGACAACATAACCCAGCACGGCTAACGTTTGAAGACGCAAAAATTGAATACCTTTATGCGAGTTGGTGACAATCTAGAAACAACAGAAACATAATTGATGGGTTTCCGCAAACTTTACCAGGGCCGCCGAGAGGTTGGGGGGGGGGGGCCCGGGGCAAATTTTTTTTTAGGGGCCCCCATCTAAAAAATTAGGAGGGAGAACAACCCCCCCCGTCGCCAAAAAAATTTCGGTCAGTGTACCATTTTAGGGGTCAAAAATTTTTTCCGGAGTACAAAATTTTTCCGGACGAGTACGTTGCAATTGCTCTCGAGGGACTTTATCTCATTTTTTCATGCCAAAATTCGGTACTTAGCCCAAAAAACAGATCTCTTGTCCTTTGCGCGGAAATATTTAACACACAAAAAAGGCTGGGGCCCAACAAAAATTTTTCAGGGGCCCCCAGCAATTCGGGGCCCGGGGCAATTTGCCCCCCCCCCCCCTCTCTGCGGCCCTGAACTTTACAGAGTACCAGATCCTGGTCAACTTCGAAAATGTTCACAGTGACAAGAGCAAGAAAATTAGACCACAATCTTCGATTTTATTCGGTTGCCTCCAAATACAATTAGAATGTTAGGGTTTGGAATCCAAGTGAGAATATATACATTTTAAGACCTAACCAGGAACGACTTCGAAAAATGCAGCACAAGGTCCTCTGGTAGGAATTGAGGTTCCTACCAGAGGACCTTGTGTTGCATTTTTCGCATTCGTTCCTGGTTAGGTCTTAAAATGTATATATTCTCACTTGGATTCCAAACCCTAACATTCTAATATTAATTCCACCAAGTGAAGTGCAAGAATCTAAGTCATGAAGTCCAAATACAAAACCACTAGATATAATGACAAGAATTATTATCATTTTCTCACTCTGATAATTACAGGTTGACCACGATCTGCTGCACGATAGTGCTTAGTAAAATCTACATAGTACATACTGTAAAAACCTGAAGACTAATTTACTAGGGGTGGTGACTGTCTTTAATTCTGCGGTTCGTACCTGGACTGCAGGTCCACCATAGACGAACAGAACAGTTGGATATTTCTTACCAGGATCAAAGTTTGGTGGTTTGAATACCATACCATAAACATCATGACCTGTAAGAGAAATTTTTGTGTAACAAAATGGTCAATAGTGAATAGTATAGGAAAGGTTTCATCTAATACGGAGACAAGACCTCTGCGCACATCTCCTTATTTTGCAGCCGCCAGTAATAACATACAACTCACCGTGTTTTGGACTCTTAAAACTGAGCAATTCTGGACAAAGTATTTCGTTCAATTGGCCTAGAAAGTAAATAGGTGAAGCATTAAGTATCCATGTTGCTTAGCACAGATGTCCGCCAATCTTTGTTGTGTTCCACACAGACAAATGCTCTCAGATGAACTATCTTGGCGGATTTACTGAGGGGGTTAGGGGGGGTAACCCCCCCTAGAATCTCTCTAACCCCTCTTATAAAGTGTTCAACCCCACCAAAATTTTGCTTCACCCCTCCTATTTTATGTGAAAGTCTTTAACCCTAACCCCTGCCTAAGCTCACTCAGTGGTGCCGCTTGTACCCCACTAGAAATGTTTCCACCCCTCCCTTTGAAAAAAATGAAAATCCACCCTTGTGAACTATCGATACCCAAGTTCGTACGGACAAGTAAGTTAAGTGTGTGTGGGGGCGGGGGTGGGGGGGTGCTATTCATCCTCACTTGCAGCTGAGAGCGACTTTAAACCCAATTACGAAGGACGCAGCTCAACCTGATCAAGACGAAGGCTTACTAATGGCGTCTCTGGCAGCCACCTTATGACTGATGTATGATGACGGAGCACACCTACGGTGAAAGGGACGGCCGGGGCGTATCCCAACCCACCCTGTCAACATTGCCTGTGGGTGGAAACCGGAGAAAACCCACAAGTTTCGGTAATTGTTGACTCACTCATTTACATATGTGTCACAGGGCTCGAATTTTATCGCGGCAATTGCCGTAGAGGGAGAACAAAATGCCGTGGATCATTGCGGCAACGACGGCAATTTTTTGCCGTATAGTGCAATTTTTATGCTATTCACTGTCCATTACTATTATGATACTTGAATTCAGATGTTGATCAAATCATGCGTAAATTACTATTTTAGTCTCAGTTTTCTTCAAAAAAAAAAACACACTAAAGAAATACGTAGACATTTTCTAGCTTGTCAAAAATCCAATGTAACAATAAAATTAAAGTTTTATTACAGTAATTTGAAAAAATGCCGTGGAAACTGTCAAAATTGCCGCAGACAGCTGCCGGTTCTACGGCAATTTTTAACGCCATTGCCGTCGATTGATTTCAGTGAATTTCGAGGCCTCAGGGCGCGAAATAACGGCTGGAGGATCGCCGGTCCAACTCAATTTTAGCTCGGACATACCGAATTGCTGGCCGGTCAAATTAATCCGCTTAAAACAAAGCCTAGAGTAAGGTACCGTATTCCCCTAAAATGTGACTATTTTCCCAGTATAGCATTACAAAATTCTTCACATAAAACAGATTGCACTGCGCTAAAAGCATTGCCTTAACTTATAAGCCAAAAGCATGGCCATGTGCTTTGTGACATACTGCGTAGGAAAGCTTGCGTACATTGAAGTTCTTTTCCCGCAAAATATTCGACAACATGTTATGGTTCTTATTTACTGTAATTATTATACTGTTATTAATTCAAATGAAAATTAGTGTGTTCTTTTACCGAAAGTGCCCGGTCAAAATGACCGGCAAGGTAAGAATTTGACCGGACAACTCC